CCTCGCCTTTCTTCCCTGGGAAATCCGCCAACCCCTGTACCTGTTGGTCGGGAATGGGACTGTAACGAGGCCGTAATTTCATCCCTTCGAGAAATTTTCGGAGAAACAGTAAAGACCGATCGAAACGCAGTTCTTCGGCGCGTATTTCGTGCTCAGAGGCAATAATCACCATGGGCTCATCTTCGCCGCTCATGGTACCGTCCGTGTATGACTTGAGTTTAGATGCCGACGCCATAACCTGTTGAACAGATCGGTCCACGAGAGAAGCATGCGTTGCATCTATCACGGCTTTCGACCGTCGGGTGACAAGGTTGTTGTCCAAATATGTATTGATGATGAAGTCGGTTGCCTGATTCTCGATAGTGTTTGGAGGCGCATCCAACATGACTTTCCACATTCTCTCGATTCCGGGTACCACAATGACATCCTCAGAGTCTGGGATGCTTTCTGTAGTGCGTCGGATAGTATACAGGATCGACACCCTAATGAACTCCAGTACTTGTTCATTGTAGTCTTGCGGAACCAGTGTTGGCAGGTGTTTCTCGATAATCAAGTCCAAGACGAGGTTCTGATCCTTGTTTTGCTTGGTTCTTATTGCATGGGTCAATGTCTCCCACGCTCTAGCTCTCACGGCAGTGGGCAGTTGGGAGAAGGAATAAAAGGACGCCCACAGCACCTGCACGAGATCCGCTGTGAAGATTTCGGGCACAAACACAATGAAGTAATACAGGCACGCGGAACGGACCTCATATATTGCTTCGATTGATTTGACGGAGACGTTGCGTGCGACCATCAGGTCGAACTGATCTCGTAGGTATGCAAAGTCGGCAACGAGCAGTGCCAATAGGTCGAACTTTTCGGTAGCTTCAGCCACCCCATCTGGGCCCAGCATTGGTAATAAGCAGTGCAAGACCTGAAGATCGCCCGATGCATACTCGGTATGGGCTTTCAGGTTTGCAGCAGCCTCAGACATGATCTGATTCCGCTCTTCCTCGTCAATCGTGGCAAAGTCGGCCTCAGTTCGGCCCAGAGCTAGTACATTAGTCAGGTGCTGTGCAAAGTCGCGCCGCATCTGAGGCGCTTGTTCAAGCGACGCGTTCTCCTCCAGCGAGGCCTCTCGCAGCAATCGGATGCACAACTTCCGTGTTATTGAATCTGTGGCAAATGGAATATGCGGAGGTGATATACCGGTCTTGGATCTGATGTTTTCAAGAAGAAGCGCCGCGAACTGCATAACGTGCGGATCAAATCGCTGAAAGGGGTAGTCTGCCAATTTTCGGCAGATGTAGTAAAGTGCATGAAGGTCATATACAGTAAAACACATTTGGAGAAGATTGAAGACCTCATGAGCAGTCCGTGGGTCTTGGCTCTCGACGATCGTTCTCCAGATATTGTCCGTCTCGACGTCCGTGTAAGTCCCAGAGACGCAGAGGAAACCAACTACGTTGTGGGCTCGGCGAATCAGTTGGGGGTGAGAGTCGACACCGACGATATAGTCCACCAATTGATTCTCCTTAATGAACTTGACCAAAAAGCGCACCAACGGATGTGTCGTTGCAGACTGTGGGTGGCCACTGATATGCTCTTTGAATACTTGAACAAGTTCAGTGGACATGCTGTCAACGCCAGAAACTCGAAGTTCCATCCGTCCATTGGTGATGAATTTCCGAAGTGTTTTGAACTTCCAGGCGTACGGCATTGTGCTGGGGAGATCGGTGAGATCAGAATCCGCGAAGCCAACTCCGGCCGAAGAGATAATGTCCTGGCCAATCTGCGGGATCTCGACTGCAATCGTAGACACCATCGGATTCAGGAGGTCAATTATTTTTCCCGCTGTCTCTAGATTGAGCCATGCCGCTTGCTTCACGATGGCGTGCTGAATGGCATTGTCTGCTTGCAAAATGATTTCTGCGGCACCGTTGCGGATGTGGTCGAGCTGTGAGAATGCCGTGTAAACAAAATTTGTCTCGGTACTGCACACGTTGGAGATGGGAGCCATGATGCAGTTGGTCACTGAGAGCAAATTATGGAAATGTCGAAAGAAGTCGCTCCGCTTGGGTAAAACTGCACATATTTCCGACAGCAGAGCGGAGATGGATGGCAACAAGGAGACGGTTGATGGGTTCCCAAGGCGATCGATGACGAGGGTGTAGAAATGGGTCCGATCGAAGTTGTGTGCACGAGACAACGCGTCGTAGAAAGGGATCCGCACCGACAGGATCCAAGTCATAGGCTGTAGGTAAGGCGCACACGACAAGCTGAAAGACTTTAGACCACGCAGCTCTGTATCCTCAGAGAGCACGCGCAGTCTCCGGGTGTCGAGGTCGATCAGAAGCTTTGCAATTTGAGCGAAGGCAACGAAGAAGTCGACGAGGTCTTCGGTCCGAGCTCCGGGAGGTGGACCAGCCTCTCGTCGTAGAAGGCCTTCGATGAGATCTGGGAGTCGGAACCAGAATTCCTTCTCCTCTTCAACCAGTCTCGCGGTGAGCTCATCACAGACGGTGACAAACTCGATCATCCAGTCCTTGACTTGACGAAATATTGCCCCATTCTGGCCACCAGCGTGTTGGAAAATTTCCGATATGCGGCCAATCACTCTATGAGTGTTTCCTGATGACCATTCTTGAGAAAAAGGGAACGTGCGATTTACGTAACCTGGTGGAACTGTCTTCAGGACTGGTGGAGAGGATCTCCGGCCGCTGATGCGACCGGTCCACCTCGTCTCATTCGGATCTTGGTCAAAGTCTTCGGGCTCAGCAATCTCAATTTCAGGACTCTTGCTCGGCGAGGAAGGTATCGAGATAATCTCTGCCGAGTCCGTCGGACGACGTTGAGGAGCAGAGCTGGTATTGTCGTCTCTCTCTGCATCGGCACAAACAGTGGGGGCGTCCGAGAGCGAGGAATTGGACGGCATGCCTGGTTCTTCGGCCTCTGTAGTTGGTTGCGTAACCGACTGAGATGACAACGGGCGGGTATTAATGGTGACCTTGCTGGTAGGAGAGATGAGAGCTGTAGGGGCTGCCGTTCTGGGAGGCAGCGGGGGGGTTTTGACGACAGCTCTTTCCTCATTGACGTTTGCAAGGACGACTGGCACAGAAAGTGCGGGGTTGGAATTGTCTCGCTGTAGATCCGACATGACATGCGTCCCATCAGGCTTGGTATCACTCAGCCTTGGGCGCTTGTGCTCATGCTCAGGCAGCTCAGAACCTTCGGTTGAGTCGCTTCGATTGCGGATGGAAGAATCGGACATTGAGGACGACATGTTACGAGAGTCGCATTTGGAAGCCCGCAGGAGCGGTATGTCCGCAACCAAGAGAGAGGAAGAGAGACACAGAGAGCGGTGAATACGAGACTGACCGGAGAGTGAAGGAGTGGTTGAGATGAGGCAGTCAGAGGTCTTGGCAAAAGCTGTAGAAGGCCGCCACTTAGGAACAAGGCAAACGGGGCGGGCGACAGCGGTGCCTGATTTTCACCTGGACATCAAAGGAGGGAGGACAAGATGGGTGTTCACTGCACGGCCAGCAGTGTTGGAGATAGATGGATGTCGATTTGAGCCATGTCTGTGGTCGAGAAGGGACGGTTGGCGGACGTTAGAAACAGAAGGGGGTTTTCGGTGCCGTGGTGGTGAGGCGGGGCCCAGATGTGAGTCGTAGGCAACTGTCACAACAAGGGGATAGGGGGATAAGGCTATGCAAAGACAGGTAGGGGAAGAATCAAGGGAATGAACCGTATGGATGAACCAAGTAGAATGAATTTGTTTTGAGGATGAGGGATGGAGAGAGTCGTCTGGATGGTGGTTTTGTGAGGCGGATGGTCGTTGGACAGAGATGGACCAGGCTCACAGGCTACCGTTAACCAAGGTTGACCTAGACGGAGTGGTAGTAAGTGGTAGGGGCTGAGAAGGCCCGGCACACCTGCTAATTGGCAGTCGACGGTCCGTCGTCAGTCGTCACCAGAGTCACCAAAAGTCACCAAAAGTCACCAAACGCGTCTGGCGGCGCGTGAGAAAGAAGGAGGGGCCCTTTCCAGCCGGTCATCCTCTCACACGTCATCCTCCCCTTGCGCCTTGCGTGCTCTTGGAATTTTTTTTTGGCTCCACCACCACCGTGTTCGTTGGGCTGCGTTTCAAATTGATTGCTACGGGCCATGGACAAACAAAAGAAAACTACAACTTCAACAATCGTTCACGCTTTGTCCCTTCCATATGCAGAGCCACAATGGTATCTACCTGTCATCAAAACATATTCCTGCGAGCTTCCGCCAACTAACACGAATCCGTCTGCCAGGCCCACCCTCTCTCCTGACAGCGAGCAAGCACTCTTGCAGCTCCTCCTCCGGCTGCTGCAGCCCATTGGCGACTTCAGACGCGACCACGTTGCCCGTTCCAAGGGCAAGGGAAGAGCTGGAAAGGTGAACAAGAAGACACAAGAAGACTCTCTGCCAGAATGGATGCCCGATATTTACGACCACCTTACGCTCGGATTCAATAGCACAGTGCGCAGACTTGAATCCTTAGCCTGCAGCCGGAAGCCCCGACTCCTATCTCAGCACACAGACGCCGACCCGTTGGGACATTCACGTGCAAATCTCTTCGTGGTATTTATTTGCCGCCAGAACCTGCCGGACGTAATGACATCCTCCCTTCCTTTGCTGATAGCCACCTCAGCTCCCAAGATCGCCAGGGCCAGACTGGTGGAATGGTCTTCCCAGGCTGAAGAGAAGGTGGCTCAAGCACTGCACCAGCCTCGTGTCGGCGTGCTCGGTATCGAGGAAGGGGCACCTGGTACTGAAACCCTGCTGCGGTGCGTACGAGACACCGTTGACGCGGTTGATGTCCCCTGGCTCGACCAAACATCCACGCCCATATACCAATCCGTCAACATCCAAACCGTCGAGTCAGTCCCCAAGTCCAATGCTGCAATCCGGGGTCGCAAGCGGAAGACTCCCGAAGACGGTTGAAACCGATTGACACTCGCAGTCCTGCAAGACTGACGAAAACCTTATCGAATGAAGGGGATGCGGACCGGAACACGTTTGCGGTAGTCAATGTAGTCTTCGCCGAAGAAAGAAACAAGATGCCTTTCTTCATCTGTGATCGAAATATCAGCAAGGGAGGGTAAGAAGAACGGATGCAGCAACAACTCACGAATAATTCGGTGGTGGAAGAACTTCCACAACACCACAGCATATATTACAAAGCAAATGCGATTTCCTAGCAGCAGCTGCGTTCCAAGCCCCCACCAGAAAAATCCGAAGTAGGATGGGTGTCTTGAAAAGGCATAGACACCACCTGTCACGAGGACATGGTCAGCTTTCTTCGTCCATTGCACAACATGGTTGAAATTGGTCTCTGCCTGTCGCATGGCGGCGCTTCTGACAAGCTGTCCCACGACGATCAAAGTGGCACCCAGTCCAACTGAGATGGAGGTAGGACTCGATGGAAGGATCCTGGGGATATGAAATGGCAGCCCCAGCCATCTGGGCGCGTAGTCAGAATACAGCCAATACCGAATCAGCAACTCAAGCATGGCAGATGCGTGGGCAGCGGCATAGCCAATGCCATTCGACAGCAACAAGAAGGACGAGATCGAGGCATCCGGTGGATTATATCTTGCTGTCATATCGAATTCGAGGTAGTGGAAAAGAGCTAGTGTTGCAATGAAGCATGGTGCCCTCCAAAGGCCATTGCCCCAATATGCCAACTCCCATGTAAGGACCGTAGAAATGCCCAACGCAATGCCTAACACAAAGGCACGAATCGAAACCCCTGACAGTGCCCGTTTGCCCCCAGGCAGGTATGGTGGTGGAATGTACATGGGCGACAAGTTTGCTCGAGCACTACCGTTGATATGTTCTTGAATCCGGTCCCTAGGGAATTCATGGATGATTCCCGGAGAACTGGGCGCTGAGGAGTCGGACATGGTCTCAAATTGCAGTAGCTGTGAGTGGCTGGATGGCTGGTTTAAGGGGATGATGTTATCTGGCTGGTGTTGCAGTCAAAGAGTCCACATTTCAAGGCCCGTCACAAAGGGCCATTTTTAAAATAACCAAACAAATGAGTGTGTCAAAGGGAATGCATGGGCTAAAAGAACAATAGCAAGAGAACGGCTTGCGGCTTGCGGATTGCGAGATTCTCAAAGCGTCTGCAAATTGTGTCATCAGACTCTCCTCAAAGAGGCTTGAAACTAGGGAAAACGAAGGCCGGCTGGCCTTATCGCGTCAATGATTTTCCGCTCCGGGATTCGTTTCTGTTTGACTGCCTGCCAATTACCTCGTCATCTGTACATGTACTTCTAGTAGGTATAGAAGGTCCTCCCTCTCATCAGTCACTCTGCGTTAAATACAGTAGGCGTCTTTCCACAATATGCTCAACCATCCAGAGTGGCAGAAGGCCCAACGAGGCGAGCTATATCATGCTTTTGTCCCCGAACTCATCGCAGCTCGAGATCGATGCAAGCAAGCTTGTGACAAGTTGAATTCCTCAGCGTGGATAACGCGCCGCAGAGCAATTGAACTGTGGAGAGAGTAGGTCAGCGAGAGACTGCTTTGCCATTCTCTGATGTCTATATCTGCTCCACAGAATCACCAACGACACTCGCCCCCTGCCACCCCAGCAGGCATCTTTGGTAGAACACGACAAGCTCTTCGAGAAGGAGCCGTGGATCGTCGGCCCGATCCATGCCGACTACGGCTTCAACATCGTCCTGGGCGAAGGAGCACAATTGAATTTCAACTCTTCTTTCGTCGACACCTGCCCCATCCGCATTGGAGCCCGCACCTTGGTCGGGCCAAACTGCAGCTTCTACTCAGGAACGCATCCCCTTGACCCGGCACTCAGGAACGGAACGAACGGTCCCGAGCTTGGGAAGGAGATAAGTATTGGCGAAGACTGCTGGCTGGGAGGAAATGTTATTATCTTGCCTGGGGTGACGATCGGACGAGGCTGCACCGTTGGAGCCGGAAGCGTGGTAACAAAAGTATCAATCCTTGAGAATTCACTTCCTCTGGCACAGATCCTTCTCTCTAACCCTTGAGCAGGACATCCCTGCTTTCCACGTTGCGGCAGGAAATCCTGCCAGGATTTTGAGAAAGATCCAAACTCCAATGGACTCAACTAAAGATATCTCGAGGCCGCCAGAGCAAGAAAGAGAGCGGGGAGGAGAAGGTGTGACGACTGAGTGATAGATGTTCTCCTGAATTAGTCGACAGTCCTTTTTCTTTCATTAGTCTGCTTCCAGATCCTATGCCTGCTGGGCAATCTTCTAACCACCGACAGTATTCCTCAGGCGGCGAGTTCAACATCGATAAATAAAAGACTGCGGTTGTGCGTATCCTATAATATTCAAAGGGCCTTTGTGAGTCGAAGCACGTGTCCGAGCTTTCCCTCTAAAAGTCATTCATCTCCATTTCTCGTAATCCGGGAAGAAGTGATTGTGTATCCTTTCTGCGTACGTGACGACGCTTGAGAAGGTTTTTACAAGCTTCTTTGACTCTGGAGCGCTGAGATGCGAAATCAGAAACTCTCCGCTGAAAATACAGACTTGGGATACGCACCTGTCACTGACGAGCACAGAAGTTATGAAACCGAACATGGTTGCATCGGCTTCAGTGGGTTGTTCACCTCCCAGCAGCCAAACAAGGTCATGATCACCCGAAGCATGTCGCAACCTACATTCAAGAACGTTGTCGATCGTCTGCCAGATCTCCGTCTTCAGGCTTCGCACTTCTTCGCCACTCAGACGTCCGACTCCTTGACCGTGCAAGGTGTTTGTGATGCTCCGAGAGATGAGATATCCAACAAGTACGCGGACTGGAAACGGCATCGACCACAGAGCTTTGTCCCTTTGGACGTAGAAGTTCTCGAGCCACCGCTCGCGCATCTATCAACGATATCAAAACCCGGCTGAGGAAGACTAAGCGTTAAAAATTACTCACATGGTAGAAATACAACTTGTCTTCCAGCAGAGCTCGAAGAGCAAGATCTTCCAGCCTCAGTTGTTTGGGCAAGCTCTCATTGAGATCCGGAAGATGACCCATGCTTAAGAGCCTCTGAATGATGAACGTTGAGTCTCCCAGGAAAGAGTGCCCCTTTTCGCTATCGACTTCAAGGGGCCCGAGATCAACATAGGGGATTTTACCCTTCGGTGCAACCTTGACCGAACCGGCTTCGACGTCATAGGCCAATCCAGCGTGCCGAAACCGAAACTCGACTTTTGTCACAAAGGGGGACCAGCTGTAGACCCCCTTTTCGGGCCAGCCGCGAAAGAGTACTAACTTGGGGCTCTTCGTTGACATTGTTTTTTTTTTTTTTGCTTTTTTTCTTTTCTTTTTTGCGGTGTCCCGGTTGGTAATTACGACAGCACTTTCAAAGAGAACACAGATCTGAAAGCCAGATCTTAACATGGAACATGATCAATAGTTGGATGTTGTCGTTGATATACATCAGGAGCTCAACCTCGTTAAGCAAGGCTGGAACCAATCGGTTTCTAATTCCCCAGGCACCGACTCGGCTCGGCTGCAAAGCGAGCCGAGCCCGACATATCTATGTCTTGGCGGCAAAAGACGAGGAAAATCTGCATCCGGCTCACCGTGACCCTCACCCCGGCGTCGCCGCTTTTAAACCACCACTCACCCCCCCATCACCCTCGCCCTCACTTCGACTCCCTTCTGCTCACCCTCCTGCTGCACCTCCTGCAACTTCTAGCGACGGTGCGCTTTGGGGCCTGTGGAACACACGTCCTAACCTAGGAACACGATGAGACATGGCCGACAGCGCGACCGCTACGATTTCGGTGGTCGTCGTCTGCCGCCTACTGGTTGACTACAAAAGATGCCCTCCCCCCCTTCTCTTGGACCCAGGTCCAGTCGCCTTCTACCACACGCGTTTCCCTCGACGTGTTTGCCAACTTTTCTCCTCTAGGTCTCTGGAGGACACCGTTCACGTCCTCACCATCCGTCCTCATACTCGTTCCTACTCTCCTTGTCCACCTTGTCCTTAAGTCTCGGCAGTATGGGCTGCCGCGATGTCGATGAAGTGTGGGCCCAAGCGGAAGCCAACGGCTACAGCCCAGGAGCGCATGCAGAGCAAGATCAGGTCCGTGGAAAAGGAAAGCACGTGAAGAAGACGATTCGGAACCATGATGGGACACTCAACCGCTACGTGTTGTAGGACATCCCTTAGGACATCCCCCCTCGCTTCCCCCTTTCCCGACCTCAGGCCGGAGATACTGTCGCTAATCCCATTCCTCTAGATGGCAGCTAGGCAAGTCGCGGCGAGACGCCGCCACACGTGGCGCCCCCGCTCCCACCGAAGCAGAAATCAGACAGAAGTACCTTGGAGAGGGCGTTGAGGCTCCCGACTTGTTGACGGTCAAAGATTTCGCACGGTTCTACATCGCCACGAGCCAGCCCAGGATCGTGGAGGTCCCGACGGTGGATGCAATCAATGGCATATTGGAGTTTTTCTTCGCGGGCTTCACTCGCGTCACAGGGACCGAGACGAAGGATGAGGACAGAAGCGAAGTGTACAATGTACGTCTATGACCACCCTTACACGATCGAAGCGGGAAGCCACAAGAGACCTAACCAACTCGAAGTGGGTGCGGAAGACCCTGACAGCCGAAGGTGTAGTGGTCAAGGCACATTTGCCAAAGCACAACTTCACCGCCCGCGATCTCACCCGCCTCCTCGTAACGCTCTGGACGAAGGACGATCTGATCTTCATCCACGAGCGGTATCGGATCCAGTTCACGCTCATCACCTGCGTCTACTGTTGGACCGGAGCTCGGCTCGGTGCCTTCTTTACGGGCGGCCTTCGATACGAGGTAGCGTTCGGTCGACCGTCTCGGACATCCGGCTTTTCCTAACCGGTCTCTAGGACATCACCCTTGTGTTGCAGCGCACCGACGAGTTCGGGAGATGGCGATTCATCTATCGGCTCGACCAGAGATGGGTGAAAAATAACCGCGACCCTGAGAACATCGTGTACGTGTCTCCTTCAATGATGGCGCCGCCCTTGGAATTGTTTGGCGTTTTTTTTTTCCCTCTCCCCTTCCGTTTTATTTGTTTTCTTTCCGTTCTCTTTTCCTTTCATACCCCTCATATTGTTGACACGGTATCCTCGGTATACTAGATTCGGTACCGCGGGTAAAGAGCACGACATATTTATTTATAACGAAGCGGCTTTCTTTGCGATCTTGGCCATCACCGACGGTGCTCTCTTTGGGATCAGTTCTGTCGAAGACTTAAGGGACCGGAAAATCGCCCACGGTAAAGATGAGGTCATTTTGGAATTCAACGACTCCGCTCTGAGTCAACCCATCTTGCGGAAATGTACCAAGAATGGTGGAGTTACAAACGAGCCTATGCCCAGGTCCGCGTACGAAGACATCTTCCGGAGCACCCTGCAGAACGCGAATTATTTTTGTGCGGCGTCGATGCACGCTATCCGCCGAGCACTGGGCAAGGAAGTCGACAGTACGCCTCTCCCTTCCCTTAATCCCCTCCCTTAATCCCTTCCCTTTCTTCTCTTCCTTTCTTGATTCTCCCTTTCTGTCGGCCTTAGAGCCCCGGGCGTTGGCCCTACGCGCCCGTCTTCGTCCGTACTAGAGCTCAGGCCCTTGGAGCTGGACTGATTTCCGCACTTAGAGGATTACACGCCCGTCCAGCGCTCGCAGCACCTCATACAGGCTGACCGGGAGGTGTTCGGCGCCTATTACATGGCGAATTGTTCATCTGTCGATGGTCAGGGTGCTTTTCTGCGGCAGCCCAAAGATCACAGACATATCGATTACTTCCAGAGTCTTGAAAAGTTCCACGAACCGGGTCTGCCGTGTAGCCTTCCAAGCCGTGAAGAGAAAAACTTGGAAGACGATGCGCGTCTCCTCGAGCTGAAAGGCACAGTGGACAGACTCGAGCGCGAGGAAGGGAAGAAGGCCCTCGCCGTGAAGAAGGCCAAAAAGGACCTAGAGCTCTACCGCAAGAAACAGAGGAGGATCGCCCTCCGCCGGTATCAAAAGCAATGGGTCCGGGATCGCCGGAGATGGCAGATCCTCAGCCGGGGTAAGGAGCGGCCGAGTGACGTCCCTAAGACTGACCTTGTCGAGAGCCTGTGCCTCTTGATCCCCGAAAGAGGCCGTCTCGCTCATGTGATTGCTCAAGAGGAACCCTTGTCGCGGGACTCGATGTGGTATGCCATGCTCGATCTGCATTCGTTGTGCACTCGTGACCTCACCGTCCTCTACCTTGCGGGACTCGAGCCACGGGACGGTAATTGCCCTATGGAACGCTGTCGAGAGCCATTGAATTAGTAAGTCCAGCTCAATCTCCGTTTTCGGAAGCTTCATTGACGGGACGCTAGCCTCCCCAAGCACCGGCGCAATCAACATATTCTCCTCTGCGTCCGTCAGGCAATGGCGAGCAAACTCGATCTCGGAGAGTTGGATATTCATTACTGCCACTTGTGCTTCGAATGGGTCATCGGAGACGACTGGGAACCGCACTGCCAGACCCACATTAATGCGCTCAGCTCCAAACGGTGCGGTACCATCACGTACTGCCACACGCTCGTTCGTCCTGGGTATTCACCATTCCGTCTGGGAAGCGTGGGCTCACCGGCGGCCTATCGACTACAGTCATGGACACGTGATCACCATCTGTGGGGGCACGTGAACGACTGCACGGAGGGGTGTCAGTGGCCGATTATCTGTCCGCACCCGCTGTGTCAGAATGTGTCGCTGGAGGATGACAGTGCCCTGTATTTTCACTTCGTGGACGACCACTACTTTAGCCGCACCCGTCCCGTGCGAAAGGCTGACGAAGGGCATCCGAAATCTTGCCCTGGAGATCCATCTCTCGACCGGGAGAACGAGATCGTTGGATGGGCCCGTAACTGGAAGCCATCAACGGAAGATGGAGGTCTGAAGTGGGCCCCGCTGGAATCCGGTCACGTCCGTGCGACCCAACGGAGATGCTCCTTGTCTGAACCCCGACAGAAAATGCTCTGCAACGAGACTGCTACGATCAGCCCTCGGCTGCTGTCCAGAGTGGACCACGTTGACGACCAACCGATTCAGCTCGATCCCAGTTCTCCTTGCTCATCCTCGACACACGGGCCGAGGGTGTTGGACATGAGCGACATCGGCTCAGATCTCGGCTTGACCGATAAATTTCACGAATGGAATGGGCACCTGGACGATTCTCTTTACGTGAACAACACGCGGCTTGACACCGCTGCTGATGCGGATAATGACAGCGTGATCTTCCAATTCGTTCGCTCACTTTCACCGTCGCGCATGTCCGCAGTGGGCGCGACCGTGGCCGACGCGACCGTGTCCGACAGCGAGAGTCCCGGTTTGGCCGTCCCATCGCCCGTACCATTGCCCGTGAAGCATTTTTCAGCGCCACAGCTTGAAGGATTGACCGACTTCCACCAAGTTCAGAGGCCTCCCGCGAGTTCGAGAGGAACCCAGATCCGTCTCCGAGTTAATCCTACGAAGCCCAAAATCGTCCTGCGCCTCAGCTGTTCGACGCCGAAGCCGAAGCCGAAGCCGAAGCCGAAGGAGAAGCAGAAGCTGAAGCTGAAGGAGAGGCAGAAGCAGAAGGAAAAGCAGAAGGAGAAGCTGAAGCTGAATGTAGGTGTGAAACGTGGTCGCAGGGGAGCTGACAAGCAGAGGGGCAAGGAGAGAGGGAAGGAGGCGGGCAAGCTGGTGGGTAAGCGGGTGAGTAGGCCGATAGGCAAATAGGTGGGCAAGCAAGAAGTCGTCGAACAGGTTTGACGGTGTTGTCGTTTGGCCATATTACTGTTCTTCCCTTCTAACAGGGTGCGTGAATAGTATTGTCGCAATCGTACATTTATGCACTTATCAAAGAGCTTATCCTCTCGGCAATCGTTGTAATACTGACAACACTCTATTTACCTCTTTCTTAGAGCGCATTCTGTCCCGCTTAAGCTGTAACTTCTCCTGTTTCAAAGTGCTGATCTGCATTTGTGCAGTACGAAGGTCCCGGTTTAAATGATTAGATTTCTCCTCTGCGCGCTGCCGTGCCATCGTCTCTACTTGCGCCCCTTCCTTGCAGTGCGATAATTCGGCGGTTAGTCTCGCGATCTCCTCTTGCAGGTCTTCGATCTTCGAAGTGAAGCTGGTTTTCAATATTGATGCCTTTGAATATCGGTAGAAATGTAAGCTATTGTGAACTTGAGAATACCAAAGGCCCCCGCGTCGGACTCGCCCATACCTTCGTGGTTTCTACCGTTTCTTCGGCTGATCCACGACATGCTATGGCCTCAAATGACTTGTCCACTTCTCGAGACAGCTTCCTATACGTCCCAATCGAATGCTTGCTTAAGGGCTTTTTGAATAAGTACTCATTCCCCGGTGTCGGTGCCCATCTATAACCATCCTCGTGATGAGGTTGGAGGCGAACCTGGGCTGGCTCCACTTCGAGGCCTAACTTCGTTCCTGTCTAATCAATGGCAATCCTTTGCCTCGTGAGTGCGATGCTTACTGAGATATGCTGACAGAATGTCGCGGCATCTTTGACGCCATTCGGCCCGGTGTACATTTCCTCGTCTTAGAGCCGAGGCTTTCTCCATATTTGTTTCTTCACGTTATAAGACAAGGTTCCAAGACAGTTATGTCGTCTTATACGGTGTCAAAGACTAGCATGCAAGGATCAAAAAGGCTTCTCCTCTGCCTTTTTTCCCTTTTCTATTTTCTTGTACGGCGGGTGTGCAAACTATATTGGCTTGATGACTATTCTGCCAGCATCGAGCCACGACTCGACCATTCTCGGTGACGGGTGACCACGCCCACCCAACCTGGCCGCCTCTCTTTTCCTTCACGTCTTTCTTTTTTCCGGGGGGTTGGTATAGATGAGCCCCTCGGAGAGAAAGAGAATGAGGAGGATCAGGAGAAGACAAGGGGGGGAAAATTAAACCCCCCCCCCCCCCCCAAAAAGGAAGAGGGCGGGGGATGACGCCTTCTGGTTCCTGTTCAATTTGTAGGAAGTTCGAAGAGCAACCAGCGCTATCCGTGTGAAGCAGCTGGTCTTATGGTTAGATAACACATGATTAGGATTACCGACCTACTGCTCCTTCCCGAAAAGAACAGTGCTAGCGATATGTTGTTTGCAGAACGTGTTACAGTACCTCGAGTATCAATTTTTTTTTTGCGAGGATCTTCGGACGAATCTTCAACTCATTCTGATTCACCCCGGAAGGAAATTAATATTTTGCACTTATTGTCAGATGTCGTATCTCCGTTCAATGTTCGAAATGTATATTCCACTGAGAGTGAGCGGCTCCAGTTGGCCCAACATAGAGCTCAGGATCCAGGCTTTGAGGTCCCATTTTCAACCGTATGAGGTTTTCCTTTTGAATCCGGTGAGCAAATACTAAAGTGAATACGTAAATACGCCAAAGTCTAAATAAAAAGGCAAAGGGCCTGAAGAGGGATCAGGAACACGAAGGGTGAGTTGAAATCCGTTCATATTTCCTTAGCTAGTGAGAGAATTGCTTGGCGGCTATCCGCTAGCCTGATTGCTAGATTGTGGCGGAGACCGTGTCAACTATATTTCCAGGAGTCGTGGATATGGACAAAGCCCGCCAAGGGGATGTGCAATGACATGGCCATCTTCCTAGACATTTCTCATTCAGACAGCCATGTCTTGTAGAGCGACCCCATCCTCTCATTCTAGTTCTTCGAGGAAAGCTATGGTTATATTCACAAGACGTGGCAGAAATGGATCTGATGCATAGTCTCTCGCTAATATAATTGTAAGTATAATATCTGGGCCCAGCGACTCGTACTACTTACCATAGCCTTGCATTTGTGGAAGATCATGCTCCAATATCTCTATTTTAGTCGTTTCACAATTTTTCTGATTCCGCCGCTGCCATTCTTGAAGCTTCCCGAGGCGCGACGTGTGGTACTCGAAAACACCAACAACAACCTCAAAGGCGTCCTTGAAATTTCCTTGTAAAAGTGTGCCCGCGTTGTTAGAGCGTAGAGTAGCTTGCCACGTTCCCAACAAGATACTTATCAAATTATGCAGCTTCCACCAGTCGCCCAGTGTAAGGCGGTGCCGGTGAAAAAGGCGAGAAATCTCTCGTAGAAGATTTTTGTGGTATTTGCGACATAAGTCCTGAGAATTAAGCTTGCCCTCAGTATACCACCTCGTAGCAGTAGCAAGCCTAAGTACGTCTCTTGCCCACTTGTGATCCTGAGAAAGAGCAACAAAGAAGTTCAACACGTGTGAGCCGTCCGGGACCGAAAGAAATAACTGTAGAGAAGAGTCCAATTCTTGAGTGAGAATTGTATTTTCCGGTTCATCAACTGGATATTCCGATATATAGCTGAAAGGGAATCCGTGGATGATGAGATCAAGATCTTGAAACCGACTGTGTATACAGGGAATATGAAGCGTGCGTGTCTTTCGACATGACCGACAAGGGGAACCGTCATCACAAGGAATTTTCAGAATAGAACAACGAATACAGGATGATATCTGACGAAGGTGGTGCGCTTTCCTCTTCTCCTCCGAGGTAAGGGGTCGACCTCTTTCGGGCACTTTTCTTGAGGGTGACGAGTTGAGTAACAGCGGGATATCCATGATTGACTGATGATTCTTGCTGGTGAGAATGGAGCTTTCGGAAGGGAGTTGGGGTTTGTCGTGGAAAACAGGGTAGAGATGGTGTTATATACTCGTCGGCGTCAAGGTGGAGTTGAGACATTAACCCCTACAACGTCAATTGTGCGAGATACTTTTGGCAGAAAGCTCTCCAAAAGTTAAAATTGAATAGTCCTAAACACAGTCTTACACAGCGGGCAGTGTTCGCTTTTCCAGGCCCGAGGTATAAAGCAAACTTGATGGAAAAAAATGTGTTGGATGGCGGGAGAGAAGAATAACCTCCTCCTCCCCTTCTCCACGCATCCTTCGCAGATTGAACACACTGGCTGATCCTCTTCCCGGTATATCTTTGTTGTGCAGCTGCTATTCGTATTTATGCCGTTGAGAGCTATGTCGCGCTCCGAGAGGCTCATTCTCACTCATGATTTCGCCGTGGATGTCCTCGGGTTTGGCAGTGGCCCAGAAGTGTCACTGAAAATAGGTCCGAAGTCTGAGATTGGTCTGATACATTTATTGGCGCCTAAAGCTCTTGCCAGAACACATAAGGGGACGGAAAAAGGGATACATGGCGGTGACGAACAAGGAATGACAGAAATGGGGGAACGGAGGTAGTGCGCTTTACAGGGGCCATGAAAGAAATCTGCTTCCTGGAAAACGTGTCCGATTGGCATTCTTCGAGCAAAGGTTGTGACAACGTTGGGTGAGTCATATTGTGAAGGATAGCGAAAGCGAGTGGAAAAATGCGACTGTAGAGGCAGGGAGGCTGCAAGGCCAAGATTACATTTTAATAGCTTATCATCCTGGACCAGATCCGGACATTGAAGTTTATATTTCGAGCGTGCTATATAACTGTGGCTCAGCCTAGGAACAAGCGCACGGCTGTGAGGCTGTGCTTCGAATTGGAGGGGCTCATGAAATGCCAAGCCTTTCCGTTAGCCCCGCATCCGAAAGAAAAAGAATGCAGGATCTTCCTCAGTTCTCTATCACCAAATCTACCGATCTCAACATTATGGCGTCACTCCCCTCGGCATCTAAACTGAGCGCAAACGACCAAACCATATGCGACGAGTTGAGCGAATGGTTCGGCACACAAGTGTGGACTACGGGGCCGATAGGGTACATAGAGGATCTCGAGGCCTTGAAAGTGAAGTTTTCGCAACTGCGCAAGACGTTAGACATCGCCAAAGAGGTCAGAGCTATTCAACCATTGTCCATCACAGTAAGCTAATATTCGAAGGGTCGCCCCGGATTCTTAGCTCTCCAGATAAGCGACCTTGACGCCGATGGCCTCCCTCCGGCTGTCCACGACGCCGCTCCGTTTCATCTCATTCCAATAAAGATTTTAGATGGTGGACCGAAAGTAGAAGGGATGGAGTTATCAAGAGAGGAGGCTTACTTGTGCCCGCAGACATCTCGTATAAGTCCGAAGGTACAGGTGCTGTGTATCCTTCATCGATGACACTGAGAGTTTGGGCATGTAGCAGCGATGACACTAGAGTTTGGGTATGCAGATGCAGCATAGTCTGAGTCAAGGCGTTGCATAATATATTGTGCCATGGAGCCTGTTATTGAATCGTTCACTGAAATGTTCGGAAATTTATTGATCGTTGGTGGGGTCATATCGAAGGCTAGCCTTATATCGGCAGCAATTGCTGAAATCTGGCTCTGTTGGGTCACACTGGCCGCTAAATGTTCCTTGTTTTGGAGATTGGGAACCTCTTGTGATGTTGGATCGAACGACAATGCGTCATCGTTAGGTTTGGAGTCGGAGAAAACAGTGTGTGATAGGAGGGGATCTGGTTGGACGCTGGCATCAAGCGGCGGATCAAGCTGCGGATCGAAGAGAGCGTATTGTTCGAGAGTAAATGGCGAGGCGGTGGGATCGAGTTGCGGATCGAAGAGAGCGTGCTCTTCGAGA